TTGAAACTTGGTTTTAAACCTTCAAACACTGGCACTTGAAGAAGCTTCAAACGAGGATGCGAGTTTCCTGTCACTGTCGCGTTACTTTGTACATTAACCAAATTCTGCTGAGGTGGATTTTGCATTGGCATTCCAGAACTATTGGGTTGACTGGATTGTGCTGATCCTACTTTCATCACATCTTGAATTACACTTTCTGCCTTTTCAATAGCTTGTAGAACTTCAGCTTCAAATTGCTCTGTTTCTTTCGAAACAACTTGTTGGTTTTCCTGATCCCCTATCTTGCTATATATGTAACTAAGTTCGTCCATAATAACCATATTCTTCTCAAGCATCTCCCATAAAGTCTCTATATGTTTTTCCACTAATCCAATGTCTAGATCCTCTCTTTTAACACAAAGCTTCTCCACAGTGTGTCGTAGTCTCGTGACCGCCGCTTTTCGTGATCTTTTGTTCCGTTTTAACTCTAAAACTCGCTCTTGACTCTAGGACTCAGCTTTTCACTCACTGTTGTTTGTATTTTGTACTGAAACGGGGGCAGGTTTGTTGGCTGAGCTTAACCCTCTGTATTGCTCATAGTTTTATGTAAACCACTCGAAATACTGCTTTGTTTGTTTGTCAATATTTGTTCACTCAAAAAAATATATAAATATATAGATATATCGAAGAACCAATACAAATGTCGATAATAAACAATGAAAAAACAACAAGTTCTATGTACCAAATCTGTAAAACAATAGTTCCTATAGCATGATTCCCATCTTGATTCCTGTTATCTTCCCAATAAACTCAAACTGTCCTCGAATATACCGATTTCGCTCAAAAAGGACCCAAGAAGTCCTGGCAGGATTGCCAAATGTTAACGCCTCTGTTACCCTTGATTCCAAAAAAAAGGCACCAAAAAACCCTGATTTTAAATAACGTAATTTATTTAAAAGAAAATAAACAAGAATAAATTCATAATAAAACAAATAAAGACTTTTTTAAGCTATCATTCGGAAAAATCCTTCAAAAAAACAACCCCGTGACTTTCCCAACGGAAACAGGTAAAACTTGTTTTAACTCGCACGACTAACACGAAATAATCAATTCGGAGGGCCTCCTGAACAAGGCTTTTGCACCAGTTCTTAATGTGCCAATTTATAAATAATTGATTCGATGATGTCTTCATCTGCTGGGTTAAAATTTTTATCATGGCACTTTGTGAGCACTTCCCAATCATCAAAAGCAACATATGAGTGGAATGATGTCATCAAAAAGTACTTGCTTAAACACTCTTTGCCAAATAAGCATGTACACACAATTAATTTTGACAGCTTCAATGGAAAGTATTTATCAATTCTGTGCCCATAAACTATGATTCTAGCAATTGCTTCCCATTGTGATTTCTGGAGATTGTGTCTTATAAAAGAAGTCTTTCTCTCTGCAGAATATGCTGTGAAAAATTCTTTCCAGAAATGTGTTAAGAAATCCATCGTAACACCTTTTCCTTGGCCTTTTTCTTCATTTCCATTTGCATTTATTACAGTTGTAAGAACTACAAAGTCCAGTATATATGGACAGCTAAAAATGTCAATAAGATCAGCACGAATAGTGGTCCTGTCTATCATTAATGACTTAAATTCTTCATTTTGATTCCTGTGCTGTCCAACTAAGGATAGAAAGAAGGTAAATTGCATTTTAGCATGTAGGCTGTAGCATATCTAATGAACATAGAACCTATTTTATATTTTAGCTCTATTTATCCCTGAGCCAGCGCCGTGCGAGGATACTAATCCCGCCCAGAGATTAGGAATTACACCCGGGTATTCTGACAGAATATAGGCGAATCCAAAGTTGCCCAAATGTCATGGACGTTCAATGGTCATAGTAGTTGTGCGCATGCGCAAAATTTGAACAAAGAAAGAACGATCGTCTACAACTTGCTGATTGGCTAAGACAAAAAGAGAGCATGCATGAGAGCGTCAGCATTTTAACCATCATTTTGCAGACTATTTTTTAAAAATATAAAATGAAATCATGGAGTCAAATATTAAAACAATAATAAAAGATTTAAAGATCATCACAGCACATAAACAGTTGGTGAAATAGGAACGACTCATAGTTTATAATCTTTGAAGTGGTAGGTGTCTATATTTTGCTTATTCAGTGTTTGCTGTAAGAATGCATTGTTATTTTGATAAGAATGAGGTTGGTACTGTATGTCGTTTTACAAGGAGCTAACCGACCGTTTAAGGCTTTACATCATCGCTTAAATTTTAAAAAGGGTTCTCAAAAGTGTACTTCAGAGTTTTGATAAAACAAATATCACTTTGCAGCTTATATAGTCACTAAAATCATTGAATAAAATAAATAATCGAAAAACAACATTCGACATTTAGTGCTTGTATGGTTATTATAATTATTTGTGCCGTTTTGATGTTTTGAAGGTTTAGCTATAGAAAAGTTTAACTCTCACTTAAACTGCAACGTATTGCAGCAGGCAAACAGGTGATTTCTGTTCACCCTAACAACTGTCTTTGTTTCCAAGTTATTTCATAATATTAGCGTAGAAAGTTAGGTCTGGGTAGCGCACATAATATTTTGCTTTGTTTAAAATGGCAAGGGGTTGCTGCATGCATTTATTTCTAGTATATTACCAGGTGGCAATTGAGCTGGTGGTTCTAACTCGTTTTTCAGACACAAAGTGGGCTGCTATTCATCCACAAATACGTTTAAAAAAATAATGACATTTACTCTTGGCCTCAAACCAATTCAGTTGGTTAAACAGATATATGGCACTCATTCACTCAACCATTCAAGTTACAAAAATCATATTGTTCATACCAACTGGCGATGGTACACTTTGTGTTCATCCAGTACTATAAGGAAGTAGATTTGTTTCAATTCCAAATTGTAAAATCCACACAGATAAGTACATATTGAAATACTTTGCACTAATTCATTGTCAAATGTTGGTAATTGCTGTTAGTTCTCTAAAAGTAAAATGCAGTCCTTGCTAACTCAAATTAAATCCAATTCCCTTTGGATTTAATAATGTTATTTATAGTAATTTATTCCGCTTAACTCAATCTCGCTTAACTTGAACTCCTCGCTAATTTGAACAAATTTTGTTTCCCCTTGGCCAAATACACCTCATTGACTCAAACTTAGTTTCGGAATCATAGATCGGAAAACATTAAAATGTGAGAACATAGCATTTTAAAAACCGAAAAATTGCATTTCTTTCCAAATTACCACGATTTAATCGCTGTATAATTATTGTAAACATTGTTATGAATTTTAAAAGATTATGTGCACTACCAGGATACTTATTCTTCCAGCTTTTTCAGTTATTTTTGTAAAAAAATATCTACATATTTTTTTCTGTCCAGTGAACTTTTGTTTGCATGGAACTTGCATGCCTTCTGCATCCCCCATGTTAACAGCTTTCCCTTTGATAATGACTGTGCATGCGCTGTGAGTATCTGCTCACAAAAAGTAGAAGATTGTTTTAACGAAGCGCCTGCTTCTCCCTCTTTTTAAATGCATTTTAAATTAATTTTATCTTGAAGAACAACACATACAGCATATTTATTGACAATATTTGTCGGTTCAATATTTGTTTTTAAAATTTTGTCCACTCTCAGGGACTATTCATATTGATAGGCATAATATCCCTTAACAAATTATTCGATTTCATTTCAAATGAGAAAGGTGTCAATTGACGGTCGTTTTTGCCATTAGTTTGCGCGAAAACTGACAATGTCAGGCACAATGTCAGGCACAAACAAGAGAAAAAATCTACGAGAACATTAAGTATAAAGTATGAAGCGTTTAAGAAAATAGAGAGTGGCATTCCAAAAAAGGATGTCGCTGCTGGGTATAATGTGCCTTGCAACACTTTATCAATGTGGTTGAAAAACAAAGAAAAAATTCTAAATGCTTTTGAGAGCGGAAATAATTGTTCTGCGTCAAAGTTAAAATTGAGCAACTATGAAAACCTGGATCAGGCGGTTTACAAATGGTTTGTAAAAGTAAGGGAGGAGGGATTACCAGTGAATGGTCCAATACTAAAAGAAAAAGTATGCTGAAGAACTAAGCGTAGAAAACTTCAAACTGGCTGGTTTTAGCGATGGAAGAGCGGGCATGAAATATCTTTCAAAACGGTTTCAGGTGAAGCAATGTCGTGCACGGAAGAAATGACCAGCATCATGGGAAGAATCGACTCTTCCAACTATTCTCTCAAACTATGAGCTTCGAGACGTATACAACGCAGATGAATTTGGCCTCTTTTATAAATCGGACAAATCACTGCAACTGAAATCAGAGAAGTCCGTTGGTGGGGAGCACAGTAAAGTTTGATTAACAGGCCTTGCAGCTGGTTATGCAGTAGGCCATAAATTACCCATGTTTGTTTATTGGGAATTTGAAAAAACCCCGGTGCTTCAAAGGAGTTTGAAACTTGCCATGTAGATATTGGTCTCAAAAGAAAAATTGGATGTACAGCATACTTTTTGAGGAATGGGTCTGCAAACAAGATTGTAAGTTTGAACGAGAAGGCAGAAAAGTAGCTATTATTGCAGATAATTGCCCCGCCCACCCTACCATATTTAATCTAAAGGCTATCGATTTCTTGTGTTTTGAGTGGGCCACTCACTTTGTCAGTTCGACTTCTACAGTTTGTTAGGAATCTGTGGATCCATGCTCCAATTCTCAGGGTTTGTCGGAACTGAGCGGTTAATTACGTAGACACCTCGCGTGTGCTACACTCGAGCACATGGAATACTAATTATGTAGAGAAAAAGAGCGAGAGGCTTTTCAATATATTTTTTATACTCTGAGATTTTAGTGATTTTATATTGTGTTTGAAGTGAATTTTCGCAGATACATACCGGGGAGGCAGGTACTTTGCGAAACGTGGCACCTCAGAGACGGGATTTAGTGATATTGTTGGTATATTTGACGAGTTTTATGTGATTTTAAAACGTGATTGTTTACGAATAGCAGACGGCAACGCGATGTCGACGTTCGATGTTAAATTAAAACAACTTCAGATGACATGCCAGCGAACTGATTCGGTGCTCGATTCTAACAAAGATACTTCGATTAAACGACAACTGGAAGCCTTAAAAGCGTTAACAAACGAGGTAGAAACATCGAGACGAGGCGTAGAAGCGTTGAAAATCGAGCAAAAAGTGGACGAGGACGAAATCGCTACGTGGAATTCTCAACTAGAGACTGAGTTAGAGAAAGCAGACGACGATGTGAAGCGCTTGGAGAAATGGCAGGACGATTGCAAACTGGAAAAGGAGAGATATGCGTTCGAAGAGAAATTGAAATACGAGATAAAACTACACGAAACTAAGCTGAAACTTGAGTCCAAACATCAAGCAAAGTTGGAAAGTGGAAGTTCGTCGAAGGAAATTCATGCCAAGCAAGTGGAAGCGAAACTACCGAAACTCGTAATATCAAAATTTGACGGAGATTACATGGATTGGCAACGGTTTTGGGGGCAATTCACCGAATCGATCGAAAAATCCGGCTTAGCAAACATTGCCAAATTTTCATATCTAAGAGATCTTCTTGGAGACAATGTCAGACGTGAAGTAGAGTCCTTACCATTTACACCAGAAGGCTACAATCAAGCTAAGGCTATATTGGAGGAAAAATATGGCAAAGAATCAGAGTTGGTGAAGTCTTATGTGAAAGAAATTTTGAGCTTGCCATACATTTCGACAGCGAATTCGAAGAAAATTGCCGAGTTTAGTGAAAAACTGACATATTGTGTCCAGTCCCTGCAGTCGCTCAAGAAGCTGGACGAAGTGAAGGGTCTTACCATGGTTACCATTGAAAAGTTGCCAGGTATACGGGGTGACCTTGTAAGATCAGACGGTGACTGGGAGACATGGAATCTCGATCAGCTAGCAGAAGCAGTGCGTCTTTGGATACGGAGAAACCCAGTCGATCATAGTTGAGATGATGATCAAGCGAAGAAGCGTCGAGAACGAGAGAGAATGTACCTCACCAATCGATCTGAAATATCTCGAGGGTGCATCTACTGCGACAGTAGGGAGCACAAAGCTGTCGAATGCACTAAAGTTACTGCTGTAGCTGACCGGAAACAGATTCCGGTGAAGAAGCGATTGTGTTTCAACTGTGCGGTTGGGACTCATCGGGCCGCAAAATGCCAAAGCAAAACATCATGCCAGACTTGTCACAGGAGACATCACACCTCAATATGTGACAAAACGCAGCCGGAAGAGAACAGGAAAGTGACATTAACACCAAGTGGAGTGGGGGAAGGAGTTTTCCCAGTGGTTTTGCTTAAAGTGGACGGAATCATAACGAGAGCACTGATCGACACAGGAGCTGGCAGCTCTTATATCTCAGCTAAAGTCGGAGATTTGCTGAACAAGAAACCCTCAGAAGCTTCAACCAAACGTATTGAGATGTTAATGGGCTCTCACCTTACGAGAATGGAAACGTACGACGTTGTTGTTTGTTCAATCCCTTGACAACTCCTTCAAAATGGATGCAAAGCTCACAAAGGTTGACAAGAACGAACTGTTGTCAATAGTCAATCCACATTACGAGAACGTTAAAGCCAAGTACCCCCACCTAGCGCAAGTCAACTTGACCGACAATGACAAGAAAGACCAACTACCCATTCATGTTATTCTAAGCGTGGGTGACTATGCGAGAATTAAGACCAACCGACCACCAGTGGTAGGTGAAGCGGGAGAACCTGTTGCTGAATACACCAAACTGGGGTGGTTCATCATGTCACCCGGAAATGAAATCGACCGGCAAACCATGTTTCTTACCCAGACCAGCCACGTAGATTACGAGGAACTGTGTCGTCTCGATGTATTGGGGCTCAAAGATTCCACAGAACACGATCAAGACATGGTACATGCAGAGTTCAAGGAACAATTGCAACGATCAGCTGAAGGATGGTACGAGACAGGATTGCCCTGGCGGAGCAATCATCCCCATCTGCCGGCCAACAAATACGGAAGTCTCCATCGTCTGAGTAGTCTAACAAAGAAGTTGCAACAAGATGGGCACATCGAAGAATACGACGCGGTCATTAGAGCACAACTCCAAGAAGGCATTGTGGAAGAGGCACCTACAACAGTTACTGGTAAAGAGTTCTACATCCCTCATAAGGGCGTGGTCAAGGAGTCATCAGAGACAACCAAATTGCGAGTCGTGTACGACACTTCAGCGAAGCAAGACCCATCATCGCCTTCCCTAAATGATTGTCTATATCCTGGTCCACCCCTCCAGAATAAGCTATGGGATGTATTGGTACAGCAAAGAGCGTTCCCAGTGATGGTCTCTAGTGATATCCGTCAAGCCTTCCTGCAAATCCGAATCAAAGCAGCTGAGAGAGACGTGCTGCGGTTTCATTGGCGTCGAGATGATCTGTCACCATTGGAGACCTTACGGTTTACGAGAGTCGTATTTGGTCTTGTACCGTCACCATATTTACTTCATGGTGTAATCGAGACTCATTTAGACACTTGGTCCAAAACTTATCCTGAAGAAGTCGAGCATCTACGTCGAAGCATGTACGTAGACGATCAACTAAGCGGCGGTTCGACAGTGGAGCAAGCTAAGATACGCAAAGAAATTTCCCGAGAAATTTTACAGGACGCTACATTTGAACTTCATAAGTGGAGCTCCAATGTACCGCAGTTGGAAGTTGAAGAGGTTCATCAAGTATCTGAACTTTCCGACGAACAATCTTATGCAAAGACACAGCTGATGGTGAAACCCAAAGAATCGAAAGTGCTCGGTCTGAAATGGAACAAACAAAGTGACACGTTAAAGATTTCATTCCCAAGCGAAGAAGTACCGGTGACGAAGCGAGGCATCTTACGTAAACTGGCAAAGATCTATGACCCTCTAGGGTTGGTTTCACCGCTGATCCTGGAGGGGAAACTCCTATTCCGCGACGTGTGTGATGCAAAACTGCCGTGGGATGTTGAGATTAATGACGAACAGTTGAAACGTTGGCGAACCTGGGAACAATCCTTACCCATAGAGGAAGAAGTGCTGAGATCTGTTGCAAGATACCAGGAACCAATTGATGAGATTGTATTACATTCCTTCGGTGATGCGTCTACAAAAGGTGTAGGGGCAGCAGTTTACGCAGTGGTTAGACAGCAATCGGGAACGACACAGCAGTTGGTGGCAGCAAAGAGTCGGCTAGCGAAGAGAAATTTGTCGGCTCCACGTCTGGAACTGGTCGGGACTCACATGGCGACAAATCTTCTAGTGAATGTTTGTGAAGCACTACCAAAAGAACCGCAACCGTTGATGTTCGCATGGCTTGACAGCACAGTGGCCTGGATAGTTGGAAATGGGGCCTACAAGCAATTCGTCGCCAATCGCGTTGCGAAGATCCAGGCTCATCCATCAATTCAGTGGCGACATGTTCCAACAAAGGACAACCCCGCGGACATTGCTAGCAGAGGCGGTCCGGTATCTTCATCGCTGTGGCAGTCGGGCCCAGAATGGCTCAGTGATCAAGCAAAGTGGCCAGACAATCCGGTAACAAAAACATCACCCGAATCGGCAGCTGAAACCAAGATTAATCGAGACCTCGTATACGTAGCCAAATCCGCCGAAACGACAACAGACGAGTTAGACAAACTTCTCAAAAGAAACACGCTGCGTCGAACGCTGAGAGTGCGTGGATAAACCGATTTATTCACAACTGCCGTGCCAAAGAAAAGAGACTAGGACCTTTGGATACGGAAGAGATCGAGACGACGAAGTATTGGTGGATCAGACGCGTTCAACTCCGAGACACGGTCGAACAACATTATAAGGAAACCAGCGTGCAACTGGGTCTAAAGACGGACGATCGAGGAATTATAGTATGTATCGGAAGAATGCAAGGAATCCTTCCTATCTACTTACCACGGAACGCGGTATTTACGGAAAAGCTGGTGCAATGTGTCCACTGCGAAACGCTACATGGCGGGGTCGGACTTACGATGGCGGCGGTACGAGAAACCTTCTGGATCCCTCGCCTTCGAAGTCTCGTAAAAATGATACGGAGTCGATGTTGGGGATGCAAGCGATTTCGCCTTACTTCTTTTACAACTCCAGTGGCCGGACAACTACCGGAAGACAGAACCACACCTGGTGCGGTGTTTGAGGTAATCGGGGTCGATTTCGCTGGACCAATGAAATTCCGGAAATCCTCCAAGGCGGAAGGGAAGTCTTACCTCGTGATCTTTGCTTGCAGCTTGTCGAGAGCTGTCCACTTAGAACTGTTGCGGAACCTTGAAACCAGTACCTTCATCATGTCGTTGAAATGGTTTATCGCTCGGCGGGGACGACCACGCGTAGTGTATTCCGATAACGGCGGCGCGTTCGTCAAAGCCAGCAAGTGGCTGGAACAGTTGCGAAAAGATGAGAGCTTACGAGGCTTCGTGGAAGGGTACGATATTACATGGAAATTTAACCTGAGTCGTGCACCCTGGTGGGGCGGCCAATTCGAGTGCCTCATCGGGGTAGTCAAGGCAGCTATGTACAAGGTGATTGGGGGAGGCCATCTCACGTGGGATGAACTAGGCTAAGTTCTGCTCGACGTTGAGATTCAAATCAACCGCCGACCACTGTCGTACGTTGAGGACGACATACAGTTACCGACCCTCACCCCAGCTACTTTCCTCCATCAACGAACGTGCCAACTCCCTATGGAAGAAACATGGCGAATCGAAGAACGAGAGCTGAGAAAACGAGCGAAATATCTGATCGAATGTAAGAACAAGCTGTGGCGGCGGTGGAGGAAAGAATACCTGGTAGCCTTAAGGGAAAGGCACAACATGACACACAAGAGAAACAAGTTCCAACCTAAGACTGGAGACGTTGTGCTGATACAGACAGAAAGCAAGAATCGAGGCACGTGGCCTCTAGGCATTATAGAAGACACATACCCTGGAAAGGATAACGTGATACGGGGAGTACGTCTGAAGACTCAAAACGGAACCTTGGAACGACCCGTGCAGCTGCTTTTTCCTTTAGAACTGAGCTGCGATGTCGAACCGGAAGCGCCAATCCTGAACCCAGATGCGGTAGAATTCGAGCCACGCCCCCGACGAGACGCGGCGACTGCGGCAAAACTACGTATAGAACAGATCGAAGCAGCGAATCATGAGTAGGAGAAAGAAAGACGAACAGTGATCTTGAGAGATTGACAATTATTTTAACTTTAAGTCTTGTGTTTTGTTATTGTATACACCTCTTTCAGAGTGTATACGGGGGAGTGTGTCGGAACTGAGCGGTTAATTACGTAGACACCTCGCGTGTGCTACACTCGAGCACATGGAATACTAATTATGTAGAGAAAAAGAGCGAGAGGCTTTTCAATATATTTTTTATACTCTGAGATTTTAGTGATTTTATATTGTGTTTGAAGTGAATTTTCGCAGATACATACCGGGGAGGCAGGTACTTTGCGAAAGGTTTTCCGTAAGGAGAATTTGCTGATTAGCTCGTCGAAACTATCTGGAGATTTATTAGATGTCGTCAGGACTTGGGGACTCCGCTCTTGTTTCGCTTCCTCTTTCACCCTTTCGTCGGCTGTGAGTGTCACTTGCGGGGGCCATCTGCTTGGATCACTAAGCCATGCTGGTCCACGCTGCCAAAGCTCGTTTTCGTCGATCGTTCCCCCACGACTCCCAAGATCTGCTGGATTCTCGTGAGTGGGAACATGGTACCATTTAACGCGCTCGTGCTCTTGGATCTTCTTCACTCTGTTGGCGACAAATTGACGGTACTCGCCTTGGCCATTGATCCAGTACAATGCAACGGTGGAGTCTAACCAGCAATGTACCCCGGATACCTTCTCAACGCCAATTGCTCTTTCGACATTAGACCCAAGATTGACTGCCATATGCCCTGCTACCAACTCCAAATGTGGAATCGTAAGATCACGCTTCGCCAGTCGAGACTTGGAACACACTAACCCTTGTGTCGTCGTTTCCTGCTGTTCAACCACGGCATACACGGCGGCAGACACCCCATTCTTGCTTGCATCTCCGAATGCATGGATTGATATTGACAACACTGGTTGATAACGTGGTGCTAACGATCGCGGAACCGAGAAGTGTTCTGGCATTTGCGAGTACCATTTCATCCAACGTTTCTTCAATTCCTCTGGGAGTTTGTTGTCCCACGCAAGATGGGTTTCGCAGATTTCGAGATACAACATCTTTCCAACAACCGTAGCAGGTGATACCAAGCCGAGTGGATCGTAAACCTTCGCCAGTTGAGAGAGGGCTATTCTTTTGGTATTCGCGAACTCCTTCTTGTTTACCACCACGCTGAGTGTATCTCGCTTCTTGTCCCATGGTAGGCCAAGTAATTTCGTTTCCATTTGCTCGACTCCGAGATGCCGCTTCGTGAAGGTCGTCTCTTCCCCGTCATGTGTCAACACTGGTGTCCTTTCTTCGAGATCTTCGACATTAGAGTGCCATTTGTGGAGTTTAAAGGTGGCGTCTTCGAAAACTTCACTTGTCTTCATCTTCTTATCGTTGACTTCTTCAACAGTTGCACCCCCCGTCATGAGGTCGTCTACATACAGCCCATCACGGATTTCTTTGACCACATCTGGGTATCTCCCCTCCCACGTCTTTAAGTGTTCGTGAATCACACCACCAAGCAGGAAAGGGGAACAGGTCAACCCAAATAACGCTCTTGTGAACCTGTAGATGTGAACTTCATTGTTTTCAGGAGCCTTCCAATGGAATCTCAATGCGTCTCGTTCATGTTCTGTAATCCTCACTTGCAAGAACGCCTTTTGGATGTCACTGGTGAGTAGTACCGGGTAGAATCGCGACCGGACAAGAACGCTCCAGAGTAGGTTCTGAAGTTGAGGGCCAGGGTGTAAGCAGTCATTCAGCGAAGGCTTGTCGTTCGATTCCTTTGCAGAGGCGTCGTATACAATCCTAAGTTTGGTTGTTTCGGCTGTGTTCTTCGTTACGCCCTTGTGTGGTATGTAGAACTCGTTGCCTGTAGGATTCGCTGGCGCTGGTTCAATGACTCCTTGCTCAAGTTGTTCCGTGATAATGTCATCGTAACGTTGATAATCTCCGTCGCGTTTTAGTCGCTTTATCAAGTTGTTTAGTCTCTGCAGGCTTCCAGTCTCGTTAGTTGGTAGAGGTGGATGGTTGGGCTTCCAAGGTAGGTTCGTCTCGTACCAACCCCCCCGATTTCTGACAAGTTGTTCTTTGAAGTCGCCAAACACAAGGTCCTGGTCATTCTCCATTGTATCTGCAAGGCCCAACACGTCTAACCTACAAAGATCCTCGAAATCGGCCTGCAATGTCTGGGTCAGCAGCATCGTACTCTTGTCGAACTCGACCCCAGGGCTCATGATAAACCACCCGAGCTTTGTTTTCTCCGCCACTGGTTCACAATCGTTTCCTACGAGGGGCCTGGTGCTGGTCTTAATTCGAGAGTACTCCCCGCTTCCAAGTATGATGTGAATCGGAAATTCCTTCTTCGTGTCGCTGTTGTTTATCTGTACTGTGTTCAAGTGTTGATAACGCTTAATTAGCTTGTCGTATCCTGGATTATTGATCGATAATAGTTCGTCTTTACCGACCTTCGTCAATCTCACGTTCATGACGTAACTTCCGTCGATCGAGGACACCAAGGTATCATACATCTCCATTCGTGAGGTCTTTGTACTCATTAACATGTCGACTTGTTGCAATCTCGTTTCGTTTGGCTTCAACTTTAGGGCTTCGATTAACTTCGCAGAGGCGTACGAGCCACCGGCGCCAGAATCGATCAATGCTCGACAAGTAATGCCATTGACTTTCATGACAACAACCGGAAAAATGCCATCACCACTTCCTCCATCTGTCATCAACTTTCTCTCGTCCTGCTCTTTGTCGCTCCTCTGGTCGCAAATTGACGTGTGGTGACGTTTGCTGCAGTTGCCGCAGGACACTTTGCTAGAGCATTCTGAGGCGCGGTGCGTTTTTGTCGCGCAATTGAAGCACAGCCTTTTCTTGGACAGAATCGCTTTTTGCTCAGCTACTGTTGTCACGTTAGTACACTGGTTAGCTTTATGCCCTGGGTCCCCACAGTATACACAACCCTTAGGCTTGTATTCGTCGCTTCGAGCATGAAAGAACTTCTTTCGATTTACCCACTGTCGTATGGCCTCAGTTAACCTAATAAAGTCCCACGTTTCCCATTCTGGATCAGTTCGGACCAAATCCCCCGGAATTCCTGATAACTTTTCCAGGGTCATAGAGACATTGCCGTTTATTTGGTCAAGTTTGCCCATAGTCTTGAGTGCTTGCACGCAATGTGATAACGTGTCACTAAAATCTGAGATCTTACGCGAATTGGAACTAGGAATTTGTGGTAAATCTAGAATTTCCTTGACATAACACTTAACAATCTCGGGCTCCTTGCCGTATTTGTCCTGCAAAACAGCCTTTGCGCGGTTATAACCTTCGGGTGTGAATGGGAGGGCTTCTACACAACGTTTAACGTTCGGAGCGAGAAGTTCGCATAAATAAGTGAATTTACTTATCGGAGCGATAGAGCTTTTGTCGATAGCTTCGGTGAATTGGCCCCAGAACCTGGGCCAATCCATAAATGAACCTTCAAACTTCGAGATAACCAACTTTGGTAGTTTGGCCACTTTTTGAGTTATGTTCTCACATTCCTGTATTTCCGGTTGAGGTTTTGCAATTTTGGCAAGTTCTGCTTGCATTTTTAAACGTTTTTCATGCAGTTCCATTTCGAATCTAAATTGCTCTTCTTGAGCTACAAGCTTTTGCGCCTGCTCATTTTTCGCGAGCCATTCCTCAAGCTTAGCCACCGTTGCGTCTGCCGCTTCAAGCTTAGCATCAATCTCATTACTCCATTCGTAATTTCAGAGAATTCTGCCTTCTCGGCAATCTTTGTCGCTTCGACAATGTTTTTACACTGGTTTGCGTCCTTCGCAATAGCTTGTATCGTCTCAAGATGCCGTTTAATAGTTACTCTCTTACCTGAGTCCAGTATGTTGTCTGTTCTTTCTACTGTAATCTTCAGCTGCGTCAACTTCGTATCCAAATCCACGGTTCCCATACTCTCATACGTTGAACACTTCCCCAAAAAGGATGTTTTTAAACTAGACGGTAACGCTATCCCGTCGGAGGTACCACTATGTCGAAAATGTTGCCTTTGCCAATATGTAATCTTCGACACAATCACAAGTTTTTATAATATGTATTTAAATAACAGAAAATCCCAATCAGCGCATGGGCTGCTCACATCACACTTTACTATCACACACTGCTTTATAACTCCCCACACCCTCGTCTTAAATTACAATTATGTTTCTGACGTCACGTGCAATTGAAACCCTATATAACCCTATATTAACAGCGCCAGTCTCCCACAGCAGCAAAGGAAACGGGCCGCACTATCTTGTAATACAGCATTTTCATCATGAAACCATAGGACTATAATTGCCAAGCAGTACTTTAGCGTAGGCTGGACAGGATTGTCATTTGTTTAAATTAAGCCTTTATTATTATTTTAAACATACAAGCCCAACGAGGAGTATGTATAAGTATTCCAAAATGATCTATTATGGCTGTGTATCAGGATTTTAATGTTCAATTATTCTTCTAGTGGTACAATCGTATTAACTTGATGAATATCAAAGTGCAGTCACTAAACAGTCACTAAATTGTTTGGTAAGAATTTATATTATGCTGGTCAATGCATGTCCAATAAACTTACCTAACTTCATAGCAAGGCCTTAGATGCAGGGTAAAATATATGCATACAGCATACTATGTTTTTTTAACAATATAACAATATTTTTTTAACATTTAGATGTACTCATGCAATATCAAGTTTGGCAAGGACAGGGTAAAAAAGTCACACTCGCACCAAGAACACCAAGTGATCATGGATGCCTCACATAGGTAGAAAAATGAAGAAAGAAAAATGGAGGAAACATGTAATGATGATAGTAATAAGTGATGTAATAAACACCAGATGATAAAACAGAACAGTAACAAAACAATACTATGATTTAACAGTTTTGCATGCCTTTTGCAGGATCTTGCTATGGTTTTGCAGGATCTTGCCATGGTTTTTGCAGGATCTTGCCATGGTTTTGCAGGATCTTGCCAGGGTTTTGTAAGATCTTGCCATGGTTTTGTAAGATCTTGCCATGGTTTTGTAAGATTTTGCCATGGTTTTGCAGGATCTTGCCATGGCTTTGTAAGATCTTGCCATGGTTTTGTAAGATATTGCCATGGTTTTGCAGAATCTTGGCTTGGTTTTGTAAGATCTTGCCAAGGTTATCGCAATCTTGCCATGGTTTTTCAGGATCTTGCCAAGGTTTTCTAGGATTCACCAAGATTTTGCAAGATCATGGCAAGATTGTGGCAAAATTGTGGCAAGATCATGCCAATATCATACCAAGATCCTGCACGATCATGGCAAAATCTTTGCAGGATCTTGCATGATTTTGATAAGATCTTGACAAGATCTTATGGATCTTGACAAGATCTTATGATAAGATCTTACAAAGATCTTGCAAGGTTCTTGCCAAGATTGTCAACCTGGGATGTTATCAAATCAATCAGAGATGCTGAGTGTTTCCAATGTGTTGCCCATAGCAGAATGCTGCTTTCTAAGTTTAGTTTTACCAGTAAGACATGCCTTGTTTGAAGAGTTTACAAAGAACATGGATTTAGCTTTGAAGTATGGTGTATGTGTGGCTTTTACGTTTAATTAAAAGCAAAAGCCATTAAGCATAGACCATTGAACTCTGCATGTGAACTTGTGAAGACAAGTGAACTCTGTGAACTTGAATGATAACTCGAACACTGCAAAGTATTATTACCAGTTCATTTCATTACTGCTGTTTGCAAGTTACCATGAGACGTGCTAAATTTTTCATGTTTGTTTTCGTTTCAAAATTTTGAAAGGCGTTTAGCTTAAGCGGTGAATAAGCCAAAGTTTAAAATTCGCTCATAGATCTTGTGAATGACTGAACCTGCATTTTATGCACTTAATATGTACTTCCAATGAAAATTAAACTATCTGAATCAAAATTAAACTGTTTTGTTTTGGGAGAAAACCACATGTATTTATTATGCAGAGATTCCTATCTAATATTTTCTTGATTCTCCTTGGTTTCATCAATGACTTTTTAATGTTTATTTTTTTAGCTCCACAAGTGGTGATATACTTAATAAACATAGGAAAACACCTTATACTAACTGTTAACTTTCAGAAAAATACAAAGGCGTAAATGGTACAATCTACCGTGGAATAGAGGTGAAATAACGCTAATTTTGCTTTGAACACTTCACGACCAAAATCTGCTGTAGCTTATAATTTGCCAACTGCAATAACTTAAAAGTAAGAATAAAATTATGCAAATTGTATGCAATTTACAATTGTATGCAAGTTTTGATAATATCATTTCTGCTTACCAAATGTTCATACTACATCTTTACATTCTTTAGGTAATAAATGGAAGAACTTCCATATAGATGTCAACACCGTTATAGGCAGATAAACGATTTGGATCAATGCTGTGCTGAAGCTGAATCTTCATCATTTGGTACTCTTGTTTCTGGAACTTCTACCTGTGTACTTTCTTCAGCTGTTACAACTGGACCTTCCCAATCAATTCCATAGTTCTCTGGGATTATCTATAATATATATTATGAATATATTAGACGACTTGCGACTAAATTTTGATGGAAGTAACTAGAAGGAAATAAATCACCACAGCTAAAAAGATCTTGCTTAAATTAGTGCAAATGCAAATAAAGTTTAGCTGCGAAATTTTGTAAAATACGGAAAATATAGTTATGCAAACCTGCCGTAAAACAAAAGTATACAAAACTCGTCAACTCGTATGGCTATATTTGCCGTAATTTACAACAACTCCAAGCCAAACTTGGCAGTTTTACTAATTTTAGTGAGCTCTTTCAGAAAATGTCCTTGTCCATTGCTTTACCTCGTTGTTTACCAGTTATCCACAGCTGCTCTGGACTCTGGTTTCCTTCTGTGCTGATTGGTGCACTGTTGTGCCCATCTCTAAATATGGCCAGACTTTCATTTATTCTCTTCTTGCATGCAAATTGCAAAGCGGCTAAATGACACTTGTTTTAGACATCCAGGATACCCGATTCTTCCATATAGTAAAATAGATGATAGAATAAACTGGTACAACCAGAGAACACATCCCTCCACACCCTTTCGATTCTCTGATTGTGAAAGCTATGTCCTGAAATATGACTTCCTCTGTCAGGCCCTCTTGCCTTGTGGATGAGTCAACATAAACCAGGCCACATCAACATTCTCACTTCTTTTGTCTGACCGGACCCGTGAAGTTAGCCCATACTGAGTAACTGCATAATACGTACAAAATAATGAGATACAGCGCACTTATTTGGCCAACAATTAATTTTTTAATGACATGTGCAATTACATGTGCGGGGTCCAACATTGTGTCAAACAAGCATTGTGCATGCTGTTCTTGTTCTGATTCTGATAGCAGCACTTATGTTTGGTTCTCACTGATTTTGGCAGTTCAGTTCGAAAATAAAACTAGACAAATCTCGCAAGGCTATCAATATTTCTATGCGCAAGAGTGCAACTAAATATACTGTGTCGGTTCAATTATATTTTATAACCCGAATGTTGAGCGAATTTGGCTTTTTAGGACCTTTTCCCACTTGAATTTCCAGCACAAAATAGACATTTATCACTTTGTTTAGCTCCAAATAATTGGTTAGATGTTTAGAGTTGTTTCTTCATTTTTAATTACAAAAGTAAGTGGGATCATTATACAGGGTGTATCAAAAAACTAAAATCAAGTTTTTGTTAAAAAACCATGATCAGCCGACAATATAAAAAAGTAAAGTAAAAAGCAAATTCTGAATAAACAAGACATCTTGAGAATCAAAATATAATTCAAACAAGACACAGATTAAGACTGTAAATTTTCGACTTTATTACAAAGTCATCTTCAGACAGAATGAAATACAATACTTTACAACGCATATATACAACACAGAGAGAGAGCGCACATGTCAATCCAGCATGTAGGCGGAAGGCCGGTAAATCAAGCACAGCGAAACATGATAAGGTTGTGAATAAAACTAAATATGTATGCTATAGGCCGAGGGAAGTTAGGTGTTGGTTTACCGTAAACAGACATTTTGAAAATGATGAGGATTTTTTTCATTATTCATTATTCATTATTTTGCAGAATACTGGTTTACTAGTAAAATATGGGTTATGGTCTAAATACCAAGTTCCATACTCAATGAAAAACATGCCACAAATCACATGTATAAAAGTTTTATTAACAAAAACAAAATGTTGCAATAGTTAAAGCTATACTCTCTTGCTGATAGGCTCATGATCACATTCCTGGCACTGGGGGTATGCCTCCTCATTTTCTTCACCTGTAGCCACATACTCTCCACAAAAAATACATATTGGTTCATAACCACAGCTGTAATACAGTCGTTCAATGTGGTCAGCACAGTCCACATCTTTAATATAGACATCAAGCCCTGATGGTAAAATTACATCATCTGAAAAAAACACAAAGCACCACTTTTAATACAATGATCTGCACATAGTTAGTGACCAGTTAAATTGAAGAAAAAATTAACACACATACATATATTGGCTTATATATGGTTAAATTAAATAAAATTACATTACCAAACGTAAACCCGCATGTGTAAGAGATGTCATCTAATAGCTGGTCAAGCTTTTCTTTTTGCTGCCTTTTTAACTTTTTTCTTGAAAAAACTAATCTCCATTTCTCACACTCTTCACATTGCACCATTGTGTCAGTGTTTCTAGCATGCTGTACAGATGGGGAGAATGGAAGCTTCTTTTTTTCCTTTGGGGTTCTCACTTTTAAACTGGGCCGTGCCTGCATGAATGTAAAATAGTTATGACATCAGACACTGGCTTAATCTGAACCGTGTGTGTGTGTGTTGTCAAAAATTAACAGGCTATTGTAACCCTGGTAGTCCAGGTATGACTTGCACGAACATGTACATATTATGGTAAGACTTACTTCAGTGGTTTTAGTACCATACACCTGTTCAAATTTTTTATAATGCTCTTTGTCTTCTGATAAGACTGGGAATGGTAATGTCTTGATATTTCTTGTTCTTTCATCCTTCAAAGCTCTAACATGGAAGTTGCAAAAATTAACACAATTGGTTGACACATATGGGGTATGACATAACAATTAACCAGCTTCAACTGCATATTTAAAAAATTTAACATGCCATAAGATGAACACATTTTTGCTGCATGCCACATAACACTTACCCACACATCTCGCACTGATTATTACCACACTTTTTAATTTGAAAACCATAATGGCTCTGGATGCAACAATGCTTTAGATATTTCTGGAGCTGAGATAGGTCTTTCACATCTTTTTGAGTTGTATGTCCTCTCTGAATTAAAATAAGATCATATGTAAATAAATGCAGTATTTATTTGGTTACTAAGAATGTCAAACACATCTTAACCTGTAATTCCTTCTGAATTGCCAGGCAGTGCTGCCAGAGTTCATTGATGTTATCCTCTGTAGAAGGCTCGAATGTCTGTAAAGGCTTTTCTTTAAGTCCTAATCTTAACATTTGACCCTTCAACAGGTCAATTGGCTGCCTTAGAGACAAGTGAAATTCCTCCTTTAGGTTGTCAGTAATCTGTTTACGCATTTCCTTGACACTATTCGCCTTCGCTGAAAAGTCAAGTGAATATATTATATGATACTGAGCCACTCACCAAAACAGTTGTTGCAATTTCAATCAGTTTTTAATATTACATATTTTACCTGCAGCCCTTTCAAATTCAGGACTCATCTTCTCACGCATAACACCAACACCTTGCAGGCCAATATTTATAATACTCATCACTCGCTCAACAGGGTTTGCCCATGAATTGCTTGGGGCTGTTCTGAGGGCTATAAGCATGTCCAAATCGAGTGCTTTAAACAAAGCAATTAGTGCCAACTTTACAGACATGTAGGTTGACCGGTGGTCAGGGCCACCATCAGTATAAAGAAGTAACACTGGTTTTGACTCTGAAAATGTTAGTTTAGAAAATGAACAAAATTAATATTATCATGCTGACAGGTTATATTTATACATGTAATTTGATTGGCAAAAGTGCCAGTAAACACCATTATAATATGGTACAGTAGTTAACTGTTAAAACATAACAGTTACATGTAACTAATGATTTTGTACCAGTCAATGCTGCAAGGCATACTGTAAACACAGGAATCATGATCATGTAGAAAAATTATTTAGCTCACCCCCTCTTTCTTGTAAAATTTGCAGAAGTTCAGATGAATGACGCAGAGGCGAAGATGGTTCAAACACGGCATCTTTAAATGCAACATATACATTTCCCCTGTAAAAACTGCCATTGATAGTTTCAGGAATATCAATCTTTAAAAAAACATGGAGACATGGCATCTGATATAGGTTGCATTTATAACTTAACCAATTGCTCAATTAGTTTCCTCCATCCCCATACTACTCCATAAAAATACTACTTACAATCAGATTCACAGAAGGAGTGAGTGTACTCTTGCTAAAATCGTGATCTCCCACTGCCATTGTTTGGTTTACTCCAACCAAAACTTGTTTACCTCTTTGGGCAGCAGCTAGAGGATAGTTGGGCTCACCCACTTTAATCTTGTGTTTATCGTCCATAGAAACCAGTTCCACCACATCACGGTGCATCACTGCAAACTCTCTCATGTAACGCCACATTGCTGCACAATAGTGGGAGTCCACATGATTGACTCGTACCTGAAATGGCAAGGTAAACTCAAGTGTAACATTCTGAAGTTTTTGAGGTTTGAGAGTAAACTCTACTTAATCCACGGTTTCTATAATTTACTATAGCTGTGATAAAACAATTGTATTATCATACCTGGCGTTTTTGAACCATCATCTTAATGTTTAGAGTGCCTTTAAAGTACTTGGCTGTCACTGCATTTGGATTTAGAGGTTGAAATTGATAGCGTAACCACTTTACTGAAGGTGTTGGTGTCCCTTCAGGTAGCCTTTCGGCAACACGCTTGTGTAGATCGGTAAAACTCAGGGCCTTTGCAAGATAAAGTTGCTCTCCATGTCTTCGGTCATTAACAGTAACACCTACATCTTCAGACAAATACCGCTCGGTTTCTTGAAAAAACTGTGCAAATGTGTCCTTCTTTCTTTCTGGACTGACATTTCTCAGATCTACAATAATTCCTGCATCTTCAGCCCTTAACTGCATAATCAAACCTTTTGTCTATATCTGATGTAGCAGAACAATCACTTGTCAGGTTACGGAACATAGCACGTAATGCTACTGGGCTTGCACAGAATCCAAACATATGCTTGAATTCACGTTTCCGAAGTCTGGATAGAAACTTTGGCATGTCATTCTCTATCTTCTTGATAAGTGCAGTACACCGATTTAACAGCTCACTTTCAGGTAGGCCATTTTCAATTTTCCATATGAAATGCAATGCCTGCTTTGGCCCACCAGGATAATAAGTATACAGCACCGACTTTGTTTTAAGCCCAGTTGACTTCAATTCTTCTATCATCAAGTAAGCATACTGCCGACTTGTACCAGCAGGTAAACACTCACGCACAGACACAGGAGTGAATAGCTCAGAACTTTCCACTTTCTTATTTAATTCCAATAAATAATCCTTCAGGTGTCCTTTGTTTTCTGGTACAACACTGACATTTGCCTTCAGTTCAAGGTTGGTTTTTGGCCTGAACTGAGATAGGCTGATCTTCTTGGCCTTGTTGCTTAGGAACACACAGTACTCTTCAGCTGTGCAGATGGCTTGGATAATTTCGCATTTAATGTCATTCCATGGAGATCCAATGTTATTTAGAAATGTTAATGACTGTATAACTTCCCTCAACTCAATACACATTGCTTTTAGCTTATTTTCAGAAATGTTGCTGATAGAGCGTTTGCGGTGTTTTGAAAGCTCAGGTAAGTTGAAACCAGACAGATTTTTGAAGCTTTTTGGAAATTTGGATGGAAGTGTCCCTTCGATCTTGCCATGGTGTCCATCAAGGTACCATGCAATGTTGCAAATTTTAGCAACAAATGATTTTGCACTTTGTGGTACACTTCTGGGGAACTCGCAGCAGTTTTCTTGGAACCAATCTAATACTTTATTATGGAGTTCTTCCTTCTTGGTGCCTGGACTTGAATATCTTCTTGGTACATTTTCACTTTGTTGTTCTCTTGCTGCTGCCAACATAATTTCAAAAGCATTTGGTTTTGCTGCTTGTATTTGCACTTGTGATGAACATATCTCACAGTCTTCCTTGTGGGAAATAACCAGCCCAAAGAAGCGTGTCTCAAAAATGTCCACTTTTTCAACAAGATTTTGCTCTCCATCAAACTTAATTCCTTCAGTAGAATTAAAGGAGCTTGAAGCGATTCCATGATGCAACTTGTAGTTTTTGCAGGTTGTTTTCACTTCTACTGAACTGACTCTTCCCAACAGGATATCATTCAGTAATTCATTCGCAGTGTATGAAACATGATTGAAATTCACAAAAGTCCATGGAACAAGAACTTGCCCGTCGTCTTTTGATGAAATACGTATGCAAACTGACCGTGACATCTTAAAAAAACCAAACATGGTCATGTATCTCACCATCATCATTGATGAGAATTCAATGTTGTACAAATATTTTTGATAGTCAAAATTTAATATACCATTGTATTAAAATAGACAATCGAGCCAAAAATACATGTTTATAATAATAATATTGATATATAATAAAACACAAACACTAAAGGGATCAGTAAAAGCTATTGAAACTTACCTATTTAATAGACGTGAACATAAACCTTGAGTTGAACATATTTACATTTCATGCGCACGGACGCCATCAAGGGAAATTCACAAACACGTGTTGTAGCTAGCTGTCTCGTTGAGTATACATATGCAACGAAGCTATTGATTGGTTGTGAATTAACCAATATAAAACATCCATCTTTAATAAATCATCCACATAAATCATATGGCCAGAAAGCATGTAGATAAATGTAAACCAATGATTAATACATCGGAAATGTCTTAACAATTCCAATATGTTCAAACTTTTCCCAAATAATGAAAAAAAATAAAATAATGAAAATTTTAAGCGGCACCTCGGAAGCCATGCGGGCGGTTTACGGTAAACTGACACCTAACTTCTCTCGGCCATATTTACAACAATATGTTAGATAGATTAATTTAAGGAAAGAAAGACCTGACAATTAAAATAGAGGGATCAAGTGAACAGTTGTAGTTCTTTGCTGGCTTTAAGTCTAGTGTTAAGGAAAGGTTCGTTGTGTTTGATTAAGAGTGCTTCAAGAAAGGCGAGAATATGATAGTTATTCGATTTAGTTATGTGTAGAATTCTATAGTTATTGAAAACTAAGTTCTCAAAAGGAGAAGGGTTATTTAAAGATATCGTTGAGTAGCGAGAACTGGTTTTGTTGTGTGGCTAAGAATTGAGGGTGCTCACACTCAGAGAAATGTTGGCCTACTGCACTAGAAGAGAGCCTAGTAGAATGCTCTTTTAAACGTACAGAAAGGAACCTTTGTGTCATATAGATTTTCCCGAAGCCAGGGCAAGCAACTTCATATACAAAATTGCTACGAGATAAAGGAGGAAGTTTGTCTTTTTATGGAAACAAAATAAGGCAACCTTTTAAAGTTGTAAATAGTGACAAATTTTACTGGTTTGAAAAGAAATCTTTGTATTTTATTGAGACAGGATTTAAGCGGAAGATTTCCTCGATTTCCAACATAAGGTATACAGATCCAGATTTTGGGATAAATTATCATCCGCTTCATGGAAAATACTTAGTTTTGAGTTTATTTAGCGTGGAGTATATAACATTATTCGGATAACCATACCAAGACATGAAAGATTTGATGATTTTAATTTGACTATTAAAACTCATTGCTGTTGGGTCAGATGGCATCTCAAGGTTATCTCATTCTAACTTGCGATTTCTGTGCGAATACTTCAAGACCGATTTTAATAAAAATAGAACCATTTTAAAGAGGAAATTGTCCTCAGTAGATATATGGTTTTGTTAGATCGATATGTTGCCAATTTGCCATAATATTCATGTTAAAATGCATTGGATTTATTTATTATTCTAGATTACACACCAAAGCAGCCTAATCAATAAAATATAACTAAAACGGTTACAATGATTTAGTTCACATTTTCAGGATTATTTTGATATCATCATCAAAATCGAACCTTTACAGGTTTTTTGCCAATTTTTTTTTATATAAACATGCATGATGATATGAATTATATTTTAAGATACTCTACTTCAATTTAACAATGCATTGTCTTTATTTATTCACTCTTTCTAACTTAAAATACAGTGAATTCAAAGAATAACAAACAACTATAATAACACAATGTCCTCACGTACATCGAGACATCACTGCTGGCCCGCGCCCTCTCCTCGTCTTTTTTGTTCACTCTCCAAGCATGGCGGAGTAAGAGAAGATTTCAGAATTGGAAATTGCTGGTAATCTGGAACCATTGTTGCGTGAAGATACTTTGGAAGGTAAGATTTCTTCCTCCTCGGACCTTGTTCAGACCATAGTGGCAGATCAGGGTTTATTCCATCGCTTTCTGTGGCTATTCTGGCTCAGATGACTCCGCAAGTATTAAATCACAACACTGCAGTGCTTCAAGACCAAGCAGAGGTGCATATTTCCGGAGTATCTCACGATCAAACAGGAAAAGAGACTCAAACTTTGCTTGCAGTATCATACAATCAAACGGGCCTTACTGCACGACCGAATTCCGCAGTATCTCAAGATCAGGTGGACTTAACTGCCAAAAAATGTGCACACGCTCAGCCTAAAGTTATCCAGATAGAGGATGAGGGCACTATGCCGGCCAAAAGAGTTCGATCCTCCGATGAGGTTGTATACGAGGGCCAGAGCAACAAGGAGTTAGGAGAATTTGAGACCGACGACGCATTCTCGCCTAACTTTCGATGGGATGCAAGTGATAGTTTATCACAATTTCTCACAACCGCTATTTGTAGATTGAATAAGTTTGAAAGGAAAACTTTGGTGAGACTGTATCCCAGACCAAAGTAGATGCCACCTACACACCATTTATGGATGGATGTCTAAAACTGTTCATTCAAGGAGTAAGAACTCCAGATAAACCGCATAAGGATCTCCAGGATCAGGTATTAGATATCTTGGGTCATCTCTGCACAGTTAAGAGATTCTGACCAGTATCCAGAGCTCTGTTGCACCAGAGGGTATCATTCAGTTGGATACCACCAGCATTCACAATTTCATGGATTGTGTTAAACAAACACTGCGGTTTTGTGGTTTCCAGGAATTTCAACAACTTGGGAATTGGTGTTAACCAAGATCAATCCCCTTATGGTGTCCTTAGCTCAAGAGGACTTTGGTGATACTAACTGTAACGTCTTTGAGCCAAATTTTGAGCAACGACTCAAAACCAGATCAGAGACGGCTTAGACAATTGGAAAGGCATCTCGAGCTGGGAAAACCTTCCGCCCATTCAGTCCCAGAGGGAGCACATACACCCAGGGCAGCACTTATACCAGAGGCAGTGGCTTTCAAAGCCGCAGCTCATCCCCCCGATTCCAGAACCCCCAGTTGGGCAGACAGTGAAGTCAGTCCGGCCAGAGTTCCTGCCAATAGGTATGTTTTTAGAAATTTTTCCTCATATTGTACTTCAAAATCTACCACAGACTGGGCGTCTAAAATTTTTCACAGCTGTATGGGAAGTGATCACGCAAGACCCTTGGGTTGACAATACAGAATTACAGGATAGAACTTGTAAATCCCCCAGTACAACAGTCTCTGCCCAGTGTACCTATTCTTTCGAGAATTGTCAAAATTCCTGGGCCTCCTAACCTCCTCCATTCAAGCTGTATTCCCAGCCCCCATTCATTACAGGCAGAGTCTTCAGAGTCTAAAAAATACAACTTTAGCCTCCCAAAAGACTTACGAAGCCATGGTGGTCCTAGACCCATTGGCCAGGGAAGAAATTATTTGGTGGAGAGACCAAATTCTTGCATGGAATGGTCGGGCTGTTTCACAACCCAGTCGACCTAATAATCGAGACAGATGCCCCTCGCAAAGGGTGGGGAGCATATTGCGAGGGAGTGAGCACAAGGGGGCCCATGGTCTTTGGGAGAAAAGAAACTGCATATCAATTGTCTTGAATTTCAAGTGGGTTCATTAGCAATAAAAACATTTACAAGGTCAACCGTTTGTGCTCATGTAAAGTTGTTGATAGACAATGCAACAGCAGTTGCCTAAATAAACAAGATGGGGGGTACTTATTCCCACCTTTTAGCCAAACCAGCCATAGATCTGTGGGAATGGTGCATTCAGAATCGATTAATAGTGACAGCCCAACATCTCCCAGGCCATTTAAATGTCAGAGCCCACAGGGAATCCAGAGTAATGGAGGATTCCAGTGATTGGAAACTAAATCAAAATGTTTTCCAAGTACTACAAAACAAGTGGGGACCTTTCCAAGTAGATCTATTTGCATCTCGGTTGACAAGTCAGCTCCTCATATTTGCCAGTTGGAAACCGGACCCAATGGCAACTTACAGGGATGCTTTTTCTCTAGACTGGAGCAAAATACAGGGATACGCCTTTCCCCCATTTGCTCTGATAGGTCGTTGCGTGCAACAAGTGAGGTCTCAGAAAGTGGATCAGCTAGTTCTTGTAGCTCCCGTATGGCCAACACAGCCTTGGTACCCATTGCTACTACACATGTGTGTGGATTCTCCACTACTGTTTCCAATGTCTTCCCAACTTCTTATGAAGGAGGGCAGCTCACACCCTTTAAACAACCTCCAATTAGCTGGGTGGAGGCTGTCGGCAAATGTCACGAAACAGCAAAACTTTCAGAGGAAACTAGAGACCTTTTGCTGGCAGCCTGGAGACAGAACACCAATAGCGCCTATGCTTTAGCCTGGAGTCAGTGGGTTAGCTGGTGTGATCAGCCTTATCTTCGGTTTTGCCTTTAGTAGATTCCTGGAAGGTTGGGACCCGTGCATTAGTTTCGCAGTTACTGAAGGGGATATTTAACTCATGCCCCCCTCAACCGAAATATTCGCACACTTGGAAGGTGTCTCAACTTTTGGATTATATCAGATCAATTGGCGTTAATGAGGACTTAAGATGATGTTGTTCTTCAAATTAGTCACATTGCTGGGTTTAACAGCTCCAGATAGGTCTTCTGATCTAGCAAAACGAGATTATGATTCTGTACCTACCATCTTGAAGGGGTATCTTTCACCCTTCCCAGGTTTTCAAAACTCACCAAAAATGAGCTTCCATTCAGCATTTATGGAAGAGAAGGATTTATGCCAAGTGGAGTGTTTAAAGATTTATCAGTCTAGAACGAGAGAATTTCAATCTGACAAGGTTGAGAGTAACAAACTGTTTTTGTCTTACGCTCTCCCTCATACTCCGTTATCTTCTTCGACGTTAGCCTGGGGCCGGTTGTTCAAAAGCAGGTTAAATTTAACCCTGGCTTGAAATCCTTAACCCTAGGTTAGCTAAACCTGGGTTAAAACTGTGTTGTTCAAAGCAGGGTTAGCGGTAGGGTTAGTTAACCCTGGGTTAAAATATTTAACCTAAGATTAAATGTATTCTAAAAACAAAATTGGAAATAAGAATGTTTTCATTGGTCAATAAACGAGCGTCAAAACTTTACCCGAGGAGGGTATATTGTCAGTCGAAAGATTATATGCTGTGAGGGCAGGGTCACAGGGACGTTGCTTTGAACAGCAATTTCCGTGCATGGAATTTTGGAAAGATTCAAAATTAAAGGCCATTTTGTATGATAAACAATGTCGATGTGAAATAAAATGAAGCAAATTATAAACAATCTATTTTAAAATTTCAGGCATTCTTTGATTATTCAAAATTTGGGAAAAATGTAGCCTTACCACTTGCTGCCAATCAAAAAAATCAAATTTTGGCTTCCGAAACAAATACTTTGATTAGGATGTTTCAATTGTACAGTTGTATTCATTTATCGTGTATTGCATTGAAGCGAAGATAGATAAATCAATACATCAGCTGATACCGAACAAAGTCAAACTTAAAAATTCTACCTTTCAAAAGTGTTTAATTCATGATGAATTATACGTGTTTACATGTTTCAGCTCCTTATTCATCCATTTGAATCGAAGTTAACCCAGGATTAAAAAGTTAACCCACCTAGCTAGCAGAGTTAGCAATTTTAACCCAAGGTTAACGCTAACCGAGCTTTGTGCAATGCAAATCAACCAAGGTTTAAAATTTAACCCTGGCTTTGGCATTTTTAACCCTGGGTTAGCGTTAACCAGCTTTTGAACAACCGAACCCCAATGGATAAAGTCTTTTCTGCAGTTAGCGGGGATATATACCACTATTGATACCTCCATGAAAGAGGCGTTAAATCAGGGTATTTCCGTCACAGATATTTTGGGAATGGCGGACTGGTCCCAAGAGAGTACTTTTACTCGGTTTTATTCCAGCCACAGTTTAATGCTGTGCGGGGTAAAGCAGTGTTATCAGCTGGCCATTCTTAAATTTGGTGGCTTGCATGTTATGCATTGTTAAATGCATTGTTAAATTGAATATGAATATTAAATTGAATATGCATTGTTAAATTGAGGTTGAATATCTCGAAATATAATTGTAGATTATGCAAGTCTGTTTTAACAGATGCAGTATAATTGCGTTCGACGAAGGAGAACGCATTCTGATTCTGACTTGCGCGTTGTCCCACATGGTTTTGCATGCCATTCGATTTTGGACTTTGACGCCATCTTGGACGGGCTATGTCTCACGTCTTGCCTCGATTTCGTGTGTGACGTCTTCTTACTGTGAACTCTCAAGTTCTTATGGGATGCGACCATGTGCTTGCGTTGTTTTTGGCATAATCGCGTTCGACATTTTGGAAATTTACAAGGTAAGCTGGTTGTATTTTTCGGTATTTCTAAAACTGAGCATAAATATTTAAGTTTTTGACCATGTCTAAAGAAGGTGGTCATAAAACAAACAATGAAAATCCCAGTTACATAGCTGGGTGGCCACATTTTGGCCTAACGACCATGTCTATAGCAGGTGGTCAAATCAACAATTTTCCACCCAGTTATGTAGCTGAGGAACGACTTCAGCAAATATCTGTATTTTGAGGTAGCACGTATAAGCTGCAAAAAGTTTGCAAAGAAAATCTTCCAAAAGAGGTGAACTGTCTATTCAATAATTTTATAATTCAAAATCAAAAACACTCAACCATAACCCAAAATTTAAATGGTGGTATGTATTCCCTTGCTGCTGATGATCATACTGATAACTCCTCCTGGGATATTTTAGTAAATAAATTAAAGGTAATAGGTCTACTACCTTTTGATTGTGAAAGTTCATGTGGTGACTGTTTTTTTGCATCTATGGGACATGGTCTTTATGGTAATTCAGGTTTGCATCCTCAGATTCGAAGTGCTGGGATTACTCATATGATAAATAACCCTGAGTTATATATTGAAAGCATTACTCATGTTTCATGGGATGAATATATTCATGAAATGTCAAAACAAGGAACATGGTGCGACCATGTTATAATTCAAGCAGTAGCAAATGCACTTAACTGTATAATTCATATAACTGATTCTAATCAAGGTATTGTTAATGCCACAACTATTACTCCTGATTCAGACCGCAAACAAAGAATTGTTTTTTTTGGGTTACATAAGTGGTTTACATTATGTTTCTACTGTAGAAAATAGATGCAATCAAAATGCAATTAATAACCTTAATTCACTGAAAAGGAAGTTGAGTATGACTGATGAAAAAAAGGAAAAGTGCCTTGCAAAATGGAAGGAATATTCTAAGGTTTATAGAGATAATCAATGTAGTGATCTAAAACAGGCTAAACAAGCAAAAATGAGAGAGAATGATAAGCTGCATAGGGCTAGTGAGACTACTGAACAGAGAAGTGATAGGCTTTTAAAGAAAGCTGAGAATTATAGGGTGAGAAAAGCTGAAGAAAGTGATAATGACAAGCAGCTTCGACTAGCAAAGAGAAGAGAGGCATACAAAAAAAGGACGTCATGTTCACACTACCAAAATGAAGCAAATGTTAATGAAACAAGTACATGTCATATTGCTGAAAATGTTGGCAAAACTGTCAATCTTAATGAATTTAATTCTGTGAAAAATGGTTCATTACATGAGCAATCTTGGGCAAAATGCAATATGGAAGATTTTCGTAAATCAATGCAATATGAAATTTATCAATGTACAGTGTGCAAAGAGGCATGGCCAATTAAAACTAAGCTAAAATCTCCAGCTAACTATGTGTGCTTGAGGTGCTCTAGAGATAAAAACACACCTAAAAAATTTTCAGAAACCAATTTCATGATTCCAAGGGCAGTGCCTCTTGATCTCCAAGGCCTTACTCAAACAGAAGAAATGCTTATTGCTCGAGCACTTCCAATAATGAGGGTTTACATTAAACCCGGGGGACAGAGGGTTACTCAGGCCATTGTATCAATTTGCCTCAAAAAGTTGAAGAACTTGCATTACTTTTGCCACGATATCCAAAGGATTTATCAATAATAATTGTAAAAGCAAAAGGTAAAAACAATACTGTAACGTGTTTGTTTATTACGATACTTTATAAACTCAACGAGAAATCGTTAAAATGTAGTTACATCCTTACAATCTATATACTATATTATGTCTGCCTTTGTAATTGTCTTGCACACGCTGTCTGCTGCGCCTGTCCATCAAAATTGCGTCGTGACGTCACCTCATAATATTGTGACATCTTTCCCTTTTCTTTTTCGACAAAACAAAACAAAATATAAATTATGGAATAGATATGTATACAATCTTACTAAGGTACTTCAATTTCGAATTGTTCAATGCTTTCAGTTCATTCCATTACATATTCCTTGTGCCACCCAGGTTTGCATCTTACACGTTCTGAGCGTCGTGGTGGTTTTTCGCTGTTCTCAGCTGAGGGTGCACTGTCTAATGATGGTGTGTGTTCGGGGTTAGCTTCATTCTCCACCAAACGGTTCTCTGGTTCCCTTCTGCTCTGCTCAGGTTCAAACTCAGGATCACTCCCAGCAACAGGTGGTGTTGGAGGTCTTTCTTGCGATGCCCGTAGTTGTCGGCGATTTCGGCGGTACATCCTACCGCTCACATCTACTTCGTATGATCTGTTGTCTAAAACCCTGGTACAAGTTCTAAGCGTCCATTTTGTTGCGTTTGGCAATTTCATTCGGATAGCTTGACCTTTCTTTAATGGTTGAAGAGGTTGGTGTGTCTTGTTATAATGGTGAATTTGTCGCGATTTCCGAGCAACTAGTTTATCTCTTGTGCTTTCACTGATTGGCTGTTTGAGAAGATTTTTGTGAGTCGGTAGCAGTGTTCGCGTACGCCGCCCCATCAACCGTTGGGCAGGAGATGTTCCCAAACCCTCTGTGGGGGTATTCCTCCAATCTAAAATCGCCAGCAATGGGTCTTGACCAGCAGCTTTGGCTTTTGTCAACAGCATTTTGCAGGTCTTGACCGCATTCTCTGCCCGGCCATTTGATTGCGGGTAGCGAGGGCTCGACGTTACATGTTTGAACTGCCAATCATTTGCGAATGTTGAAAATTCTGCGGCGGAAAACTGAGGTCCGTTATCGGTTATCACTGTGTCCGGGATTCCATGTCGTGCAAACTGGACTTTGCATGCTACTATAACTTTGTCGGCGGTAGTTCTCGTAAGTTCTTGGACCTCGAAGAATCCACTCCAGTGGTCCACGAGAAGGACAAAGTGCTGTTTTCCAAGCTCAAACAGGTCCATACTAACCGTTTCCCAGGGACGAAATGGTAGTTGGTATGGTTTTAATTCTTCACGACATTGTGCAGGTTGATGCGCCTGGCATGTTGGGCATTTTGAAACCAAATCCTTAACCTCTGCGTTCATTAAGGGCCAATACAATACTTCTCGGGCTCTTCGGAGACAGCCTTCTATTCCAATATGAGATTGGTGAATCTGCGTCAACATTGCTTTCCTCATTGATGTGGGGACTACTAAACGTTCTCCCGCAAAAACTAGTCCATTATCTACTACAAGTTCACTTCTTTTGTCGTAGAAGGGTGACAAGTCCTAGCTGCACTGTCTCTTGGATAAAGGCCAACCATTCTTTACAACGTCAATGATGCTCTGCATGGTCTTATCTGACGTTGTCTCCCGTTTGAACTGCTCGAGTCTGTCCGGCGAAATCGACAGATTCTCTGTATGGTCGATCTCTTCCAGGGCTCGTACCTCCATTGTGTCATGACTCCAAGATTCAGTTGTGTTTCGATACGCTCGACTCAGTGTATCCGATATCCACATGAGTTTGCCTTTTTTGTATTGAACGTTGAGATTGTAATTTTGGAGGGCCAGCAGCATTCTCTGCAACCGTTTGGGTGAGCTATGTATAGGTTTGGTAAAAACCGCTTTTAGGGGTTCATGATCTGATTCTATGGTAACAGCTTCTCGACCCAAGATATACTGATCAAATTTACTTGTTGCCCACACAATTGCAAGTAACTCTTTTTCGATTTGGGCATATCGAGTTTCTGTATCTGTAAGCGCCCTCAAAGCAAAAACGACAGGTTGTCCGTCTTGCATTAAGACGGCTCCTAGACCAGTGTCACTAGCATCACATTCGATAGTAACTTCCTTGTTGACATCATAGTATCTTAGGACCGGCGTTTTGACTAGTGATTTCTTGATAGTGTCATACGCTTGCTGGTGTTGTTCGAGCCAACACCATTCTACGTCTTTATCTTCGAGTCTTCTCAGCGGTTCGGTCATGTCCGACAATAAAGGTAAAAATTTTGCCAAATAGTTTATCATCCCGAGAAATCTTTTGAGGCCTTTTACGTCAGTTGGGGCCGGCATGTCTAAGATTGCTTCAACTTTTGCTGGGTCAGCTTTGAGGCCGTCAGCAGTAATGAGGTGTCCCATGAAACGGACTTCCGTCTGTGATCTCTTCATCTTCGATTGATTCAGCTTTAGGTTCCACTCACGACATTTCTGGAAAAACGCTCGCTCATTCGCTTCCAAGCTTTGATCGACCTCCTCATCTGTTTCTCCAAATCCCGCGATAAGGAAATCATCTGCTATGACTTCAACCCCATTGAGATCTTGAGCAAACTCGTGCATTTGCCTATGCCAAACTTCGGGTGCACTCGAGATTCCGAAGGGCATGCGAGTCCAACGGTACCATCCGAAAGGGGAGTTGAAGGTTGTCAGATAACTTGAGGCTGTGTCAAGTTTGATTTGATGAAATCCGTCCTTAGCATCGAATTTTTTGGCACCCGCCAATCTTGATGTGACTTCATCCACTGTAGGTAGTTGATAATGCTCGCGTCGTATAACACGATTAAGGTCTCGTGGGTCGATGCATATGCGGATCTTATTCGGCTTGACAACTGCCAACATGCTGGATACCCAACAAGTGGGTTCTGTAACAGGGACAATGACTTCTCGATCGACTAGTTCATCTAGTTTGGCTTTGATTTGGGATCTTAATGCGACTGGAACTCGTCGAGGGCGTGGATAACTGGCTTCGCCGAGTTTTCTATAGTTATCGTGTGCGCTCCTGGTATCTCGCCTAGGCCATCAAAAACGTCGGCATACTCGTCTGCAACATGCGGTTTGTCCTTTGGATGCTTTATTGTCAGTGCCAGAATGTCACATTTACTCAAATTGACAACACCTAGAGCAATGCTTGTATCTAACGATAGTACTGGTTGATAATCTCCGTTGATAATATTAAAATTCAAGGTTCTTTGCTCATCTCCGAACCATACAGGCAGTTTAGCTCTTCTGGTAATCTTACGGTGCTCACCTGTGTATGAAACGATTTCCTTCTTGCAGGGTTTTAGGCGTTGCAATTGATTGTCACCAGTGACTTGTATATATAGGCTTGTCGGGAGAATATCACATTGCGAACCAGTGTCTATTTGAAATTGAACCGAATTTCCGCCTCTGGCTTCGAAATTTGCAAATTAATCACAGCTTTGCGTGCTTTAGACTCGTCACCGTCCGAAACAGAGCTGATACAGTAACGATCTTCTTCGGGTTTTTGATCGACTTCCGTAGTTTGGTTGATTTCTGTTCCTTTGCTATTTTTTCCTCAACATTTCCGCGCAAAATGATTCATCTTATCACAGTTAAAACACTTTCTTCCAAACGCTGGACAATTCCGTTCGTCGTGAGTCATACCACAATTCCCACACTCCTTAAGCAATCCTTCCTGTTGGCGGTTTCGCATTGGATATCTAGGCGGTTTTGTCTTCCGGGATTGTTTACTTTCTAAACCAGTATCTTTTCCTTGTGTTCCCCTAAGCATGTTTACACAATCCTCTCCTGTGCTCATTAGCTTGACTTGTTGTTGTGTTTGTTCCGCGGCTTTGATAGTGTCCACTGCTTTCTGTAAGGTGAGATCGTTTAGCCTTAGTAAACATTCTCGGACATGATCATCGCGAATGCCTAAAACAAGCCGATCCCGTAAAATTTCATCTGGTGTAATCGTGTCATGAGCACAATTTCTAGCTATTGTTCTCAGTTCTGTTAGGTAGGTTGCAATGTTCTCTCCTGGTGCTTGGTTTCGATTGTTAAAACGGTATCGTTCATAGATTATTTGAGTTCTCGGTGAACAATACTCATCAAATTTTTGAAGGACAATATTGACATCATTTTGATTCTCATCTTCTCCCCATGCAAATGTCTCGTACGCTTTGACACCGTCCTCGCCGATTACGCTTAATAAGGTTGATACTCTTACAATTCCCTCTTGTTTGTGTACACCAGTTGCAATCTCGTACCGTGTCCATGATTTCTTCCACGACTTCCATGTAGCTGCCAAATTATCGTCGAATATGAGCGATTTCGGCGGTGGCAAGTTCGATGGCGCTACATATACTTGTGGCGCCTGAGCCATTTGTGGCACTTGGGCTTCTCCTTGAGGCTCGACCATTGTTTTATTTCAAAAATCCCACTCCTGACACCATGTAACGTGTTTGTTTATTACGATACTTTATAAACTCAACGAGAAATCGTGAAAATGTAGTTACATGCTTACAATCTATATACTATATTATGTCTGCCTTTGTAATTGTCTCGCACACGCCATCTGCTGCGCCTGTCCATCAAAATTGCGTCGTGACGTCACCTCATAATATTGTGAATACATTTAAAAATGTTAATGTTCGAAAGGAAAAAGTACACAGTGCACTGCTCTGGCTAATTAAAAATAATCCTCATTATAAAGATGTAACTATCAATGAACATGCATTGCAATATCTACCAGATGATGGTGTCCCATCTGATATAATGACTATTGAATCTGATGAGACAATACAGAGTGACATAGACTCTACCCCTGATACTGACAATGAAGATGACAAGGTGTACAACCAGACATCACATATGAGTAGTTTTATGCCTGTTAATGAGGAACAGCAACAGGAGTTAGAAGCAATTAGAAATAAATTGTGCCCAAAACAACTAGTAGACTGGCCGACTTTAAACAACGAACCCATTAATGAATATCAGATACCTTTCCTAGCAACATTAGCATTTCCCACACATTTCCCTGATGGTAAAGGGGGTCCAACAAATCCATCAATTTTGAAAAACATTCCTTTGGGTGAAAGAGTAAAACATCTAATTAAATTTGCTGAAAGGATTGATGGAAAGTGGGTTTACAGATTCGCTAACTATCCTAGATTTTCGTATTGGGCGTTTGACATGCTTCAGAGGAAAAGAATTTTGCAACAAAGTGGCATATTTCTTAAACAAAATCCCAGTGAAGCTCATTTAACCCTTGATGAACTACGTACTATGGTTGCCAGTAATGATAGCAATGCTTTAACTGCAAAGGTATCCAGATATGTAGCGAATGTGCCTGGTTCTAATGCTTATTGGCACAAGGTGAGAGAAGATCTCAAAGCAATAGTAACAACTGCTGGCACTCCAACTATTTTTTTCACATTTTCGTCAGCTGATATGCACTGGCCTGACTTGCATACACTGCTTGGGACAGAAAATTACACAAGTGCACAAAGACGACAAAGAGTGATTAATAATCCACATATTGTAGATTGGTATTTTACTCACAGGCTGGAGAGTTTTATTAAAAATTGGTTGTATAAAAAACTTGATTGCAAATGGCACTGGTACAGATTTGAGTACCAAGCTCGAGGAAGCATACACTGCCATGGAACAGCTAAACTGAACAATGACCCTGGTTTGTGTGATTTAAGAAATATAGCTCTTAAAGGCTTCTTAGCACAAAAATACAAGGATGAGCATGAAGATGAAAATGCACTTGAACAAGATGAAGCTATTTTTGCTGGTAATGAGGCTGCCAAAATTGTATGTCAGTATGTTGACTGGTTGCTTTCTACCTTTAACCCAAATTCACCAGATGATGGTGTCTGGGTAAAGCCCAGCCATCATCCAGCTCAAACGAAATATAACGACATCCCAGAGTCTGATATCCATGATGATTATTGTGATATTTTAAATATGGTTCAGCGCCATACACGATGTAGCACAAGCTACTGCTTAAGAAAACGAAATAGTGAGTCCGAACTAAAATGTCGGTTTAACTTTCCAAAAGATTTGTGCTCTAAGACAAGGTTAGAATTTGAACAAATTCATACTAGTGGTGATGAACAACACTATAAAGCAAAAATTGTCACTAAAAGAAACGAGTCTCTTAATAGAGACTTAATAACAACCAGGAACTCCAGTTACAGAATTGGCGAGCTAACTGTGACATTCAAGTAGTAATTGACCAC